TTCAGCAAATTTTGGATGGTAACTTGATGCCATCTGTGAAAAAGCTGAAGTTAAAGAGAGGATGGCTTCTACAAATGGATAATGATCCTAAACACACCTCGAAATCCACCACGGGGGATTACATCAAGAGGCGTAAACTGAAGGTTTTGCCATGGCCTTCACAATCTCCTGACCTCAACATCATTGAAAATCTATGGATAGACCTTAAAAGAGCAGTGCGTGACAGACAGCCCAGAAATCTCAAAGAACTGGAAGACTTTTGTAAGGAAGAATGGGCAAAGATACCTCAAACAAGAATTGAAAGACTCTTGGCTGGCTACAAAAAGCGTTTACAAGCTGTGATACTTGCCAAAGGGGACAGTACAAGATATTAACTCTGCAGGGGGCCCAAACTTTTGCAGACGCCATTTTTTTGTTTTCTGTTATTTTGAAAGTGTAAATGATGGAAATAAAATCTAACTTTTGTTGACATATTATAAGAATGTCTAATCTGTAATTTGATGCCTTTTGGAGATTTTTCCATCTTTCCTTGGCTTCTTTATGCACATTAATACAAATTTTTAGCTGGGGTGCCCAAACTTTCCCCAATCCCCACTGTGTTATATTGCTGCCCGTGACCCTATTGTCTTTGCTGGGCCTTGATGGCTGCACCCGTGACTTACCCTTGGCCTGTGGGACTTTCCTTGTGTCCTGGATCATGACCGCCGGACTCCCTCCTCTTTCCTGCATCTCATGTTCCTGTCTGTCTGGCTGTACTACCCTGTAAATCTGTACCCACCTCTGTGTACCGGAATACCCCAACAAGCTCCCCGCGCATTGGGTCCCATGTGATCTGCCTCTCTGGATCTGTGACTCAGTGTGCTGAAGCCAGAGGATCGGCATAACTTTAATCTTTCTCTCATAGCAATTTTCATTTCAGCTGAAGCAAACCATCTCATGTTCCCCATTCATCCCTGCAGCAATATTAGGAGCCCCCCAGCCCTGTTATCCTCCTGGGAGCCGTCTGCCTCCTGTCCCGCACGGCGGAGTAATCCCCTAGTAATGACATCATGGTGTCCCAGGTTGTCCCCAGGCACAAAGCCAGACAGAAATACAGAGTGACCTTTAATGGAGAGGAAAACCCGGCTGCAGCAGCATTGACAGTTTACATTGCTGTATAAACAAATTCGGAGTCTACAAGGAGATGGGAGACAATCTGGCAGAATCAGAGAAGAGAAGAAATGCTGAGACAGAACACGCTGCCCCCAATCCACAAACCGCAGAGGACAAACATAGAGGGCGAGAGGAGTGAGACTGCAAATACAGCAATACATGGAGAGCTGCCGAGAGACTACAGGAGATGAAAATATATACTGTACACTCCGATCCCGCCCAGCTAAAAATATACCCTGTACCCGGTGATCCCGCCCAGCTAAAAATATACCCTGTACCCGGTGATCCCGCCCTGCTCAGAACATACCCTGTACCCGGTGACCCCGCCCTGCTCAGAACATACCCTGTACCTGGTGACCCCCGCCCGGCTCAGAAAATACATACCCTGTACCCGGTGACCCCGCCCTGCTCAGAACATACCCTGTACCTGGTGACCCCGCCCTGCTCAGAACATACCCTGTACCTGGTGACCCCGCCCTGCTCAGAACATTCCCTGTACCCGGTGATCCCGCCCTGCTCAGAACATACCCTGTACCTGGTGATCCCGCCCAGCTAAAAATATACCCTGTACCCGGTGATCCCGCCCTGCTCAGAACATACCCTGTACCCGGTGATCCCCCGCCCTGCTCAGAACATACCCTGTACCTGGTGATCCCGCCCGGCTCAGAACATACCCTGTACCCGGTGATCCCGCCCCGGCTCAGAAATATACCCTGTACCCGGTGATCCTGCCCGCCCGGCTCAGAACATTCCCTGTACCCGGTGATCCCGCCCCTGCTCAGAACATACCCTGTACCCGGTGACCCCGCCCTGCTCAGAACATACCCTGTACCCGGTGACCCCGCCCGGCTCAGAACATAACCTGTACCCGGTGACCCCGCCCGGCTCAGAACATTCCCTGTACCCGGTGATCCCGCCCGGCTCAGAACATACCCTGTACCCGGTGATCCCCGCCCTGCTCAGAACATACCCTGTACCCGGTGACCCCGCCCTGCTCAGAACATACCCTGTACCCGGTGACCCCGCCCTGCTCAGAACATAACCTGTACCCGGTGACCCCGCCCGGCTCAGAACATACCCTGTACCCGGTGACCCCGCCCGGCACAGAACATACCCTGTACCTGGTGATCCCGCCCAGCTAAAAATATACCCTGTACCCGGTGATCCCGCCCTGCTAAGAACATACCCTGTACCCGGTGATCCCGCCCGGCTCAGAACATTCCCTGTACCCGGTGATCCCGCCCGGCTCAGAACATTCCCTGTACCCGGTGATCCCGCCTGGCTCAGAACATACCCTGTACCCGGTGATCCCGCCCGGCTCAGAACATTCCCTGTACCCGGTGACCCCGCCCGGCTCAGAACATACCCTGTACCCGGTGACCCCGCCCGGCTCAGAACATACCCTGTACCCGGTGATCCCGCCCGGCTCAGAACATACCCTGTACCCGGTGACCCCCCCCGGCTCAGAACATACCCTGTACCCGGTGATCCCGCCCGGCTCAGAACATTCCCTGTACCCGGTGATCCCGCCCGGCTCAGAACATTCCCTGTACCCGGTGATCCCGCCCGGCTCAGAACATACCCTGTACCCGGTGATCCCGTCCGGCTCAGAACATTCCCTGTACCCGGTGATCCCGCCCGGCTCAGAACATTCCCTGTACCCGGTGATCCCGCCCGGCTCAGAACATACCCTGTACCCGGTGACCCCGCCCGGCTCAGAACATACCCTGTACCTGGTGATCCCGCCCAGCTAAAAATATACCCTGTACCCGGTGATCCCGCCCAGCTAAAAATATACCCTGTACCTGGTGATCCCGCCCAGCTAAAAATATACCCTGTACCTGGTGATCCCGCCCAGCTCAGAACATTCCCTGTACCCGGTGATCCCGCCCGGCTCAGAACATTCTCTGTACCCGGTGATCCCGCCCGGCTCAGAACATTCCCGTACCTGGTGATCCCGCCCGGCTCAGAACATACCCTGTACCCGGTGATCCCGCTTGGCTCAGAACATTCTCTGTACCCGGTGATCCCGCCCGGCTCAGAACATTCCCTGTACCCGGTGATCCCGCCCGGCTCAGAACATTCCCTGTACCCGGTGATCCCGCCCGGCTCAGAACATTCCCTGTACCCGGTGATCCCGCCCGGCTCAGAAACATACCCTGTACCCGGTGACCCCGCCCGGCACAGAACATACCCTGTACCTGGTGATCCCGCCCAGCTAAAAATATACCCTGTACCTGGTGATCCCGCCCAGCTCAGAACATTCCCTGTACCCGGTGATCCCGCCCGGCTCAGAACATTCCTGTACCCGGTGATCCCACCCGGCTCAGAACATTCTCTGTACCCGGTGATCCCGCCCGGCTCAGAACATACCCTGTACCCGGTGATCCCGTCCGGCTCAGAACATTCCCTGTACCCGGTGACCCCGCCCGGCTCAGAACATACCCTGTACCTGATGATCCTGCCCGGCTCAGAACATACCCTGTACCTGGTGATCCCACCCAGCTCAGAACATACCCTGTACCTGGTGATCCCGCCCAGCTCAGAACATACAGATGATGCAGTGCTCAGCAGAAGGCTCTAACATTGCCATGCATCTCACATATTATACACCCTGGCATGATGAGGTAGTAGCATCGCCCTACATCTCACACATTATACAGCCTGGCAGGAGGTAGTAGCATCGCCATGTATGTCACACATTATACACCCTGGCAGGAGGTAGTAGCATCGCCATGCATCTCACACATTATACACCCTGGCAGGAGGTAGTAGCATCGCCATGCATCTCACATATTATACACCCTGGCAGGAGGTAGTAGCATTGCCATGTATGTCACACATCATACACCCTAGCAGGAGGTAGTAGCATCGCCATGCATCTCACATATTATACACCCTGGCAGGAGGTAGTAGCATCGCCATGCATCTCACACATTATACAGCCTGGCAGGAGGTAGTAGCACATCTCACACATTATACACCCTGGCAGGAGGTAGTAGCATCGCCATGCATCATCACATGCATTATACAGCCTGGCAGGAGGTAGTAGCATCGCCCTACATCTCACACATTATACACCCTGGCAGGCGGTAGTAGCATCAGCATCTCACACATTATACACCCTGGCAGGAGGTAGTAGCATCGCCATGCATCTCACACATTATACACCCTGGCAAGGTAGTAGCATCGCCTGTGCATCTCACACATTATACACCCTGGCAGGAGGTATAGCATCCATGTATCTCACACATTATACAGCCTGGCATGAGGTAGTAGCATCGCCGTAGCATCGCCGGCAGGAGGTAGCATCTCACACACATTATACACCCTGGCAGGAGGTAGTAGCATCGCCATGCATCTCACATTTATACACCCTGGCAGGAGGTAGTAGCATTGCCATGTATGTCACACATTATACAGCTTGGCAGGGGTGCTAGCACTTTAATTCATGAATTGCCCACATTTTGGGATCTTACAAAAGATGTGCTGTACTCACCTAAGTGCATCTGCTCCGTAATTGTTGATGACAAGTGTGGGATCGGGATAATTCTTCTTGCTTTTGCTCATTTTTTGACCGTCACTGTCATAGGAAGAAACAGGAGAGAATACGTGACTTGCCCGTGGTAGGTTACTGTTCTGACAGCAGAAGAATGAAGACAATGCTAGCATAGTACCTACCTGGCCAGGACTAGACCGTTTACTATGACGTTCTTGAATGGTGGCTGACCAAACAGTGCAGTTGAGAGAACGAGGAGCGTGTAGAACCTGAGGATTGAAAACAGGCAACAAGAAATTGGTTCTACGGGAGCCTCAGTAAAAAAAATGAATAGAAAGGCAGCGCGCACTTACCATCCACGTGTCTGGTCAATTCCCTCTGCTATGAAGTCAGCCGGGAAACAGTCTTCAAACTCTCTTCTGTTCTCAAATGGGTAATGCACCTGTGCGTAGGGCATGCTGCCGCTCTCAAACCAGCAATCAAACACCTCAGTCACCCGTCGCAGGACGCCTTTCCCACAGCGGGATGGAATGGTCAGCTGATCCACACTACAAAAAAAAACACAACATGAACAAGAGAAGAAATATTATGGACGTTTATCGAAGGCCGCCCACACATGGCTGTACTACAGCGCAAGAAGAAAAAGAGAGGAGGGCGCCTCTAAGCGCAGTATTGACAATTTATTCAGTAAACAATGGATAAATGGCACTTACAAGATAAACGGTTAACCACTTCCCGACCGGCCGTTGCATATAAACGGCCGGACGGTGGCAGTGCAGGGTCGGGTGGCCGTTATAAACGGCCTCCTCCCCGCACCCTGCTTGTGCGCGCTCCCTGGGAGCGTGCAGCACCGCGATCCGGTGCCCCGCGCTGTGTCCTCCGGACACAGTGAAACACCGATCGTCGGCCCGATCATCAGTGATCACATGCAAAGTAGTAAGCAAGATGTCACTTGTGACATCATTGCTTACTACGTGTGAAATCTGTGAACGATCACAGAGGTCACATGGTACAGGGCTATTCACAACAGGCTTGTACCATGTGACAAGCTGTGACCAATCACAGCTCAGTCAGTACTTCTCAATGAGTGCAGGAATGCACACAGAGAGAAAGAGAAATGATTGCGTTTACATCCTATATGGGTGTAAAAGCAATGTGTAAAAAAAAAAAAAAAAAAAAAAAATCTTCATCACCCCCCACAAGTAGTACAGTGTCACCATGGTGACACTGTACTGCTAGGGTGATAGTATGTAAAAAAAAATAAAAATTAATATAAAAAAATAAAATAAAAATGTAAAAAAAATGTTTAAAAATTATTTTTGTTATAAACTAATTTGGATTTTTTTTTTTTTTTTTTTTTTTTACTAAAAAAGATAACGGAATAAATTTTGGCAAAGATTTATGATGAAATATTATTTATTTGCAAAATTTTATTAAAAAAAACACTTTTTTTTCAAAATTTTTGGACTTTTTCATTTACATAGCAAAAAAAATAAAAATCCCAGCGGTGAATAAATACCACCAAAATAAAGCCTTATCTGTTTCAAAAAAATGGTAAAAAATTCATATGGGTACAGTGTTGTATGACCGCGTAACTGTCATTTAAAGCGTGATAGCGCTGAAAGCTGAAAATTGCCCTGGTCAGGAAGGGGGTAAAAGTGTCCGGTCTGGAAGTGGTTAAAAAGACTCCTCGTGTGGTAATTAGATCCAGGTGGGACATCCAGCCGTCCAGCAGCAAACTATGTCTATAGGATCAGGAAGTAGAGTCCAGGATGTGCCTGTACATCAAAAACGAAGCTCGTCTGAAGAAGGAGCCTATTGAGCATGCTCCAAAATGCTTTACCGCCCCCTTCACCTGCTACATCTGACTCTGCTCTCCAAGCTTCATTTTTGATGCACATCCTGGACTCTACTTCCTGATCCTATAGACATAGTTTGCTGCTGGACAGCTGGATGTCCCTCCTGGATCTAATCACCACAAGATGAGTCTTTTTAACCGTTTATCTTGTAAATGCAAATTTTCCATTGTTTACTGAATAAATTGTCAATACTGCACTTAGAGGCGCCTTCCTCTCTTTCTTGTTACTGCATTAGAGCCTTGCTTCCACTCTAAGAAGAGCTGCCTCAGTGTTACTGCTCCCATCCATCCATCCATCCCTGATATCCATCTGGCACCTTTATCTTACAGCTACAGAGGTTGGGCTCCAACAAGCGCGCCCTATATAATATACATTTTCTGACTGTACTACAGCGTACACCACTGGGAGGACCGCGTTTGCCCGCATGGGGATATGGGTGTTCCGTGCATCCCCAATAATGCCAATTGGGACACAAAGGCTGCACAGACATAGGCACTGCTCTCAATATGACAGCCATGCAGGTGTATGGCCCCGAACGCACACTGTCTGCGTTCACGGATCCGCACGGCTGTCAAACTGGGAACAGCAGCTGTGACCCAACTGACATGAATGGGACAGCCTGCATGGGGACATCTGTGCATCCCAAACCCAAACTGTACTCTCCGCTCCTCGCACGACCTCCTGCTCTCTAGCTCCCTTGTCTCCTCCTCCCATGTTCGTCTCCGGGACTTCTCCAGAGTTTCCCCCATCCGCTGGAACTCTCTACCCCAATTTATCAGACTATCGCCTACTCTGCTCACTTTTAGACGATCTCTGAAAACCTCTCTCTTCAGGGAAGCCTATCCTGCCATCAGCTAATAATGGAATCTTCTATTCCTCCTACCAGTCCCCCACACCGCTGATTGCCCTCCATGCCCACATCCAATTCACCCAGCTTCCTGAGCCTTGTACAGGAGGAATGGTGATACCCCCTTATCCACAGCCCTGGTAGAAGGGGTAGGGTGCAGTAAATGCAGAGTATGGTGGCGTGCAGTAGAGAGCAAGGTATGGTAGAAGGGGTAGGGTGCAGCAAATAATGCAGAGTATGGTGGAGTGCAGTAGGCATCAATGTATGCTAGAAGAGGTAGGGTGCAATAAATGCAGAGTATGGAGGAGTGCAGTAGGGATCAAGGTATGGTAGAAGGGGTAGGGTGCAGTAAATGCAGAGTATGGAGGAGTGCAGTAGGGATCAATGTATGGTAGAAGGGGTAGGGTGCAGTAAATGCAGAGTATGGAGGAGTGCAGTAGGGATCAATGTATGGTAGAAGGGGTAGGGTGCAGTAAATGCAGAGTATGGAGGAGTGCAGTAGGGATCAATGTATGGTAGAAGGGGTAGGGTGCAGTAAATGCAGAGTATGGAGGAGTGCAGTAGGGAGCAAGGTATGGTAGAAGGGGTAGGGTGCAGTAAATGCAGAGTATGGAGGAGTGCAGTAGGGATCAATGTATGGTAGAAGGGGTAGGGTGCAGTAAATGCAGAGTATGGAGGAGTGCAGTAGGGAGCAAGGTATGGTAGAAGGGGTAGGGTGCAGTAAATAATGCAGAGTTTGGTGGAGTAAGAAGTATAGCTAGGCATTTTAGGATGGCCAATAATGGATCTAATAAAATATGGTAAAACAGGGTCTGGTGGGAGCGTGTAAATATAATTAGAGGCTTGCTTCATATGTACAGATCTAATAATTCTGAGGGTTCACTTTACTTGCACAGGATTGTAGTCCTCGGTAAGTGGCACAGTCCTCGGTACAGTGGCACAGCCCTCGGTACAGTGGCATCTTTCATGTACACCATTCTCCAGTAACACGCCCAAAAAACAACTAATCTGTGCCGCTAGATTGACTTTTTTTGTACACCTAATCCTGTGCAAATAAGGCAAACCCTGGAGATAATTAGATCTGTAAATGAAGCGAGCTGCTAATCCTATGGATGGGCTCCTGCCGCACCCTATTTTACCATGTCTTACCACAACCTACTCTGTTCCATTCTGGGGCTTACCCAGAATAAAGATCTTCACAATTCAGGTATAAAATGATGGCTTATCGGGGATAAAACGCAACAAAAAATCCTGAGCCCATACCCAGGAAGAGGGTCTCTGAGCTGCAGTGTCCAAACCCGGGAAGAGGGTCTCTGAGGAGTGCCAACACCCGGGAAGAGGGTCTCTGAGGAGTGCCAACACCCGGGAAGAGGGTCTCTGAGGAGTGCCAACACCCGGGAAGAGGGTCTCTGAGCTGCAGTGACTGCATCCAAGAAGACAGTCTTTGAGCAGGAGTGTCCAGACACGGGATGAAGCCCACTGAGCTGGAGTGTCCAGACACGGGATGGAGCCCACTGAGCTGGAGCTGGAGTGTCCAGACACGGGATGGAGCCCACTGAGCTGGAGTGTCCAGACACGGGATGGAGCCCACTGAGCTGGAGTGTCCAGACACGGGATGGAGCCCACTGAGCTGGAGTGCCTCACACGAAAAGAGTCTCTGAGCTGCAGTGTCCACACCCAGGAAGAGGGTCTCTGAGCTGCAATGACTACACCCAGGAAGAGGGTCTCTGAGCTGCAGTGACTGCACCCAGGAAGAGTCCACTGAGCTGGAGTGTCCACGCCCTGCATGGATCCCACTGAGCTGGAGTGCCTCACCCGGGAAGAGGGTCTCTGAGCTGCAGTGTCCACACTCGGGAAGAGGGCCTCTGAGGAGTGCCAACACCTGGGAAGAGGGTCTCTGAGCTGCAGTGTCCAAACCCGGGAAGACAATCTTTGAGCAGAAGTGTCCACACCCAGGATGGAGCCCACTGAGCTGGAGTGCCTCACCATGAAAGCGGGTCTTTGAGTTGTAGTGCCTACACCCAGGAAGGGGGTCTTTGAGTTGGGAGTGCCTACACCAGGGAAGAGTGTCTCTGAGGAGTGTCCACACCTGGGAAGAGGGTCTTTGAGGTGCCGTGTTCCCATACTGGAAGAGGGTCTTTGTACCAAAGTGTCCACACCCAGGATGGAGCCCACTGAGTTGGTGTGCCTGCACCGTGGAAGGGGGTCTCTGAGCTGCAGTGCATATGCCTGTGAAGGGGTCTCTGATCTGGAGTGCCTGCACTGGGGGTGAAACCTTCTGAGCTGGAGTGTCCTCACCCAGGAAAAGGGTCTTTGAGCGGCAGTGTCCTCACCCGGGAAGAGTCTTTGAACTCTCTGAGCTGTAGTGCCCACACCCTGGAAGGGGGTCCTTGAGCTGGAGTGCCCACACCCTGGAAGGGGGTCCTTGAGCTGGAGTGCCCACACCCTGGAAGGGGGTCCTTGAGCTGGAGTGCCCACACCCTGGAAGGGGGTCCTTGAGCTGGAGTGCCCACACCCTGGAAGGGGGTCCTTGAGCTGGAGTGCCCACACCCTGGAAGGGGGTCCTTGAGCTGGAGTGCCCACCCTGGACACCCTGGAAGGGGGTCCTTGAGCTGGAGTGCCCACACCCTGGAAGGGGGTCCTTGAGCTGGAGTGCCCATTGATGGCTGTTGAGACTGTTTCTCTTCTCTTACTTGGCCAGTAAGCCTGCATCTGTTACATACAAGTGATGGCACATCGGCAGTTTATAGAACTCACCTCTCCCGATGCAAGTCTGTCACTTTCACACCAGTCCGCTCTTCCAGCTCGGCCAATGAGCCCACACATACAACCTACAAGACACAGGGCAGAGAGAAGGAACAGGAGATCACTACATATCACGTCATCTATGTCCATACACTGAGTAGCAAGTCTCACAAACCAGCAATGAGACATCCTTGTGTACAATCGGCCTCAGAGGGGAAATCTGTATCAGACAATCTCTTTGCAAATACGCCAACATAAGAAAAATCATGAAGGTTGAAAGAATGAAGAACGATGGAAAGATAAAAGGGAGAAGCAGGAGGATGACACAGGAAAGCATTAAGTATGATTAAAACAGTAAACCAGGAAAGGGTTATAGTAAAAGACTTCAAAGGACAGGTTCACCCTGAAGAAAATATTTAAATATATATATATATATATATATATATATATATATATATACACACACACACACATATATTTTACACATATATATGTATGTATGCGCTGTGCTGTCTTGAAATCGTGATAGCGGGTGCAGAGAGAAGGTCCCCCGCCCGCTGTCACAGGGAAGGAGTGGAGGGGGGGGGGGGGGGCAGTGGATGCTGAACATGTTACATACTAAATACGAGTGTAACATGTTCAGGAAAGGTGAACTGATCCTTTAAGAGGAAAGAGAAGGTAACAGTGGGTTATAAAAGATGACTATAGGAGGAATGACACACAAGGTGACGGGGGGGGAGTTGTTACAGAGGAAGGCTATGGAAGGACAGTGAAGGTGGTGGGGGGGGGTTACAGAGGAAGGCTATTAAAGGAAAGAGAAGGTGATGGGAGGTTACAGAAGGTTAGAAGGTTATAGTAAAAAGGACAGGAAAGGTGACGTTGGGGGGGGGGGGGGGCAGAGGACGACTACTGAAGGCCAGAGAAGTTGACGGGGGGGGTTACAGAGGAAGACTATTAAAGGACAGAGAAGGTGATGGGGGGGGGGGGGGGGGGGGGGGTTACAGAGGAAGACTTCTGACGGATAAGGAAGGTGATGGGGGGGGGTTACAGAGGAAGACTTCTGACGGATAAGGAAGGTGATGGGGGGGGTTACAGAGGAAGACTATTGAAGGACAGAGAAGGTGATGGGGGGGGGGGGTTACAGAGGAAGACTTCTGACGGATAAGGAAGGTGATGGGGGGGGTTACAGAGGAAGACTTCTGACGGATAAGGAAGGTGATGGGGGGGGTTACAGAGGAAGACTATTGAAGGACAGATAAGTTGACGGGGTGGGGGGGGGGGTTACAGAGGAAGACTACTGACGGATAGGGAAGGTGATGGGGGGGGGGGGGGAGTTACAGAGGAAGACTACTGACGGATAGAGAAGGTGATGGGGGGGGGGGGGGGGGGTTACAGAGGAAGGCTACTGACGGATAGAGAAGGTGATGGGGGGGGGGGGGTTACAAAGGCAGACTACTGACGGAGAGAAAGGTGATGGGGGGGGGGGGTTACAAAGGCAGACTACTGACGGATAGAGAAGATGATGGGGGGGGGGGGGTTACAGAGGAAGACTTCTGACGGACAGAGAAGGTGACGGGGGGGGGGGGGGGGGTTGCAGGGGAAGGCTACTGACGGATAGAGAAGGTGATGGGGGGGGGGGGGGGGGTTTACAGAGGAAGATACTGACGGACAGAGAAGGTGATTGAGGGGGGGGGGGGGTGTTACAGAGCAGAGGAAGACTACTGATGGACAGAGAAGGTGATGGGGGGAGGGGTTACAAAGGAAGACTACTGAAGGACAGAGAGGGTGATGGGGGGTTTTTACAGAGGAAGACTACTAAAGGACAGAGAAGGTGATTGGGGGGGCTACATAGGAAGATTATTGAAGGACAGAGAAGGTAACAAAGGGTGGGGGGGGGGGGGGGGGGGATTACAGAGGAAGACTACTGAAGGACAGAGAAGGTAACGGGAGGTGGCCGGGGGATACAGAGGTAGACTATTGAAAAACAGAGAATGTGACGGGAGTTGGGGGGGGTTACAGAGGAAGACTATTGAAGGACAGAGAAGGTGATGGGAGGTGAGTGGGGGGGGGGGGGGGGGGGGGGGTTACAGAGGAAGGCTACTGAATAACAGAGAAGGTAACGGGAGGTGGCCGGGGGATACAGAGGTAGACTATTGAAAAACAGAGAATGTGACGGGAGTTGGGGGGGGGGTTACAGAGGAAGACTATTGAAGGACAGAGAAGGTGATGGGAGGTGAGTGGGGGGGGGGGGGGGTCGGGGGGTTACAGAGGAAGGCTACTGAAGGACAGAGAAGGGGAGGGGGGTGTTACAGAGGAAGGCTACTGAAGGACAGAGAAGGGGAGGGGGTGTTACAGAGGAAGTTTGAAGGACAGAGAAGGTGATGGGAGATGGGGGGGGGGGGGGGGACAGAGAAGGAGACTGGGTGGTTAGTGCTGATGACAATTGAAGGAAACAGAAGGTGATGGGAGGTTACAGAAGAAGGATATAGTAAAAAGGACAGAGAAGGTGGCGGGGGGTGGGGTGGGGGGGGGTATACAGAGGAATACTATAGAAGGAAGGACAGAGAAGGTGGTGGGGGTGGGAGGTATACAGAGGAATACTATAGAAGGAAGGACAGAGAAGGTGGCGGGGGGTGGGGGGTTTACAGAAGACGACTATAGAAGGAAGGACAGAGAAGGTGGCGGGGTGTGGGGTGGGGGGTATACAGAGGAAGACTATAGAAGGAAGGACAGAGAAGGTGGCGGGGGTGGGGGGTATACAGAGGAATACTATAGAAGGAAGGACAGAGAAGGTGGCGGGGGTGGGGGGTTTACAGAAGACGACTATAGAAGGAAGGACAGAGAAGGGTGGCGGGGGTGGGGGGTTTACAGAAGACGACTATAGAAGGAAGGACAGAGAAGGTGGCGGGGGTGGGGGTGGGGGTATACAGAGGAAGACTATAGAAGGAAGGACAGAGAAGGTGGTGGGGGTGGGGTGGGGGGTTTACAGAAGAAAACTATAGAAGGAAGGACAGAGAAGGTGGCGGGGGTGGGGGGGTTTACAGAAGAAAACTATAGAAGGAAGGACAGAGAAGGTGGCGGGGGTGAGGTGGTGGGGGTGGGGGGTTTACAGAAGAAGACTATAGAAGGAAGGACAGAGAAGGTGGCGGGGGTGAGGTGGTGGGGGTGGGGGTTTACAGAAGAAGACTATAGAAGGAAGGACAGAGAAGGTGGCGGGGGGGGGGGGGGTTTACAGAAGAAGACTATAGAAGGAAGGACAGAGAAGGTGGTGGGGGGGGGGGGGGAGAGAGAAGACATCTATAACGACTTAATAGTAATTCTCATTTGGACTTTGTGCAGCTATATCTGGTTTTAGCAGCGTGCCGGCACAGGTTCACTTCATTTCGAAGCATCCTACAAGAGCCTGCACTGATACCAACCTCTTCAAAGTCCTCGCTGACCCACAGTGGAATGGGGGTGCCCCAGTAGCGGTTCCTGGATATGGCCCAGTCCCGGGCATCCTTCAGCCAATTCCCGAATCGCTTCTCGCGTACAAACTCCGGGACCCTGAAGACAAAAAAAGCACAGGCGTCACTTGTACAACCGTCTGTTGTGACTGTCCTGCCATGCCCATGTGGCCTCCATGAATGCTCCAGCATACCAGGGATGAAGAAACATTCAAGGAGAGAGGGAAGGGAGATGGTGCTGACCTAGGAGGATCACCGACAACATTCTAACCTCCAACGACAACAATTACCCAACACAATACCAGGAGCTCTCATGGAAAAGCACGGTCCTGAGGGAAAGGCGAAGAATTTTTAGTTCAGGAGTCCCGTAAGGATAAACAATGTATTGCTAGGGAGTTCCTTCCAGAACATGTCTCCAAGTCCTCGTGGAGTATGGTAAAGGAATCACACAGAGCAATCTAATTGTACAATCTCCTTCAGATCTTCTACTAATCTAGTGCAAAGGCCCACCTGACTGGGATAATTCTACATGGATCATCTGTGAAAGAGCCTCACAGGTTATAATCCTGATATTGAATCTGCTTCAGATGTAACAACATCAAGCCTACTGATTGGAAAAAAAAATGGAAAAAAGAAAAAAATTAAGGTAGGCCCGCTCATGTTACATAGTTGTTGGTAAATAATGAATATTTCATGTGTGTGGCCACCTTTAGACCAAAGAGAATCTACTAGTTTGGTGAAAAAAAAAAAAAATGGGATGCAGTGCTGGGGGGTATTTACTAGGTCACCCCCTACCACAGTACCATGACTCTGAAGTTGGACCAATCAAAATGCAGCAAATCTACCAGCTTGGCAGAAAACGGTCATTGATTATCCCTAGGGGATATAAACTGTCCCTACGAAGTTGGTGAGGGATAAAATGCAGCACTGGGGGGTATTTAGACCACTCCCCACAACAGATCAAAGCAGCGGATTGGTCACGAACCCTTTTAGGAAATCAATGACTCTGAAGTTGGACCAATCAAAATGAAGAAAATCTACTGGCTTGGCAGAAAAAAAAAAAAAATCAAAACACTATCATTGATGTTCTCTGGGGGGAATTAATTTGTCCCTTTGATGTTGGTGAAGAATATAATGCAGTGCTGGGGGGTATTTAGGTGACCCCCTACCACAGATCAAAGCAGTGGATTGGACAAGAAGCCTTGAAGGAAATCTATGGCTCTGAAGTTGGGAAAATGGCTCTGACGTTGGAAAATCTAAAATCTACTAGCTTGGTGGAAAACTGTCAATGATGGTCTTTAAGGGAAATTAAATTGTCCATATGATGTTAGCAAGGGATACAATGCCGTGTTGGGGGGTATTTAGGTCACCCTCTACCACGGATCAAAGCAGCGGAATGGACAAGAACCCATGAATGAAATCTTTGGTTCTAAAGTTGGGCCAATCAAAATGAAGCAAATCTACCAACAAAGAAAAACTGTCATTGATGGTCTCTAGAGGAAATAAACTGCTCCAATGATATTGGCGAAGAGATTATAATGCAGTGCTGGGGGGTATTTAGGTCACCCTCTACCACAGATCAAAGCAGCCCAATGGACATGAACCCTTGAAGGAAATCTATGGCTCTGAAGTTGTGCCAATCAAAATTAAGTGAATCTACTAGCTTAGTGGAAAACTGTCACTGCTGGTCTCTAAAGGAAGAAAAAAAAAAAAAAAAAAAAAAAAAAACACGTCCCCCGTCCCTATGATGTTGGCAAGATATAAAATGCAGTGCTGGGGGGTATTTAGGTCACTTCCTACCACAGATCAAAGCAGCGGATTGGACAAGAAAACTTGAAAGAAATCTATGGCTCTGAATTTGGGCCAATCAAATGAAGTGAATCTACTAGCTTGTCCCTAGGATGTTGGCGAGGCATATAATGCAGTGCTGGGGGGTATTTAGGTCACACCCTACAAAAGGACAAAGCAACAGATTGGACAAGGACCCTTGTAGGAAATCTGATGTTGGCGAGACATGTAAGGCAGTGCTGGGGGGTATTTAGGTCACGCCCTACCAAAGGACAAAGCAACAGATTGGACAAGAACCCTTGTAGGAAATCTATGGCTCTGAAGTTGGGCCAATTGGAAACAAAGCTATTCTACTAGCTTGGTAGAAAACTGTCATTGATGGTCTCTGGGGGAAATAAACTGTCTTTATGACATTGGAAAGGCATATAATGCAGTGCTGGGGGGTATTTAGGTCACTCCCTACCGCAGATCAAAGCGGTGTATTGGACAAAACCCTTGAAGGAAATCAATGGCTCTAAAGTTGGGCCAATCAAAAATGAAGATAATCTACTAGCTTGGTGGAAAACAGTCATTGATGGTCTCTGGGGGAAATAAACTGTCTCTATGACATTGGAAAGGCATATAATGCAGTGCTGGGGGGTATTTAGGTCACTCCCTACCGCAGATCAAAGCGGCGTATTGGACAAAAACCCTTGAAGGAAATCAATGGCTCTAAAGTTGGGCCAATCAAAATGAAGAGAATCTACTAGCTTGCTGGAAAACTGTCATTGATGGTCTCTAGGGGAAATAAACTGTCTTTTTGATATTGGGGAGGCATATAATGCAGTGCTGGGGGGGCGGGGGGGTATTTAGGTCACTCCCTACTGCAGATCAAAGCGGCGTATTGGACAAAAACCCTTGAAGGAAATCAATGGCTCTAAAGTTGGGCCAATCAAAATGAAGAGAATCTACTAGCTTGCTGGAAAAACTGTCATTGATGGTCTCTGGGGGAAATAAACTGTCTTTTTGATATTGGGGAGGCATATAATGCAGTGCTGGGGGGTATTTAGGTCACGCCCTACCGCAGATCAAAGCAGCATATTGGACAAAAACCCTTGAAGGAAATCAATGGCTCTAAAGCTGGGCCAATCAAAATGAAGAGAATCTACTAGCTTGCTGGAAAACTGTCATCGATGGACTCTAAGGGGAATAAAACTGTCCCTGTGATGTTAGCAAGGGATATAATGCAGTGCTGGGGGGTATTTAGGCCATCCGTCACCTGACGGTGAAGCACACAACACCATATCACATAGGTGTAACCTTCTGCGACCTACACCCCACGTCATCTGCTGTTCCATAGGCACGCATTGTGACCTTCTCACACACACCACCGTCAGAGCTGCCGCAGTACAAAGAGGTCAGTAACATCAGCAAATTCATCAGCATGGCACAAAGTTACCTCCCAATTCACGGCTGAACTAGTTCCAGGATTAATTAGGAAAGGACTGCGGTGAGGGACGGAGGGTTTTGTAGGGGTGTACAGAGAGAGAAAAAAGTGGGTTATTAGTACAGCCAGAGGCTCCTCCACCTCTATTAATACAATACTTTCCCCATTCCCTCCAGGTAAGCGGAGATGAAAAGCTTTGGCCTCTTTTCTGGGTGCCGGAAAAGAACGACCCCCAGGGAGGCCCGACACACGGCGCTAATGAGATTCATTAATTCAATTCCCTAAACTTGCTCCAGGACACCGTGCCCAATGCAGGTGACACATGAGACAGGAACTGACAACTTCCAACAAAGTGAGAACGCTGATTACAAAAAGAGATCTGGGAGAATTAGGAGACTTATAAATAGATGGAGAAAAATCTAGAACAGAGCATGAGAGGCTTCGAAAACTTGCTACCAGGGTGGCCCAAGGCATCACACTGTCATTCATTCTTATAGGGGCCCCCACCTCAACCCATCCGCCTACAAGCAACGTTGTTTTCCCGTACACTTGAAATGTAAAGGAAGACGCTGGTTGTTAGGAGCAACAAGGACAGTTTTTTTTTTTAACCACTTTCCGTCCGGCCCAGGTATATAAACGGCCGGATGGGAGCATTGCAGGAGCCGTTTATAAACGTGATCCCTGGGAAGCGCGCGGGCACCGCGATCTGGTGTGTAGAGAGCTTCAAGGAATGGGTTTCCGTGGCCGAGCAGCTGCATCAAGCCTTCCATCACCAAGTGCAATGCAAAGCGGCGGATGCCGTGGTGTAAAGCACGCCGCCACTGGACTCTAGAGCAGTGGAGACGTGTTCTCTGGAGTGACCAATCACGCTTCTCTGTCTGGCAATCGATGGACGTGTCTGGGTTTGGCGGTTGCCAAGAGAACGGTACTTGCCTGACTGCATTGTGCCAAGTGTAAAGTTTGGTGGAGGGGGGGGTTATGATGTGGGGTTGTTTTTCAGGGGCTGGGCTTGGCCCCCTAGTTCCAGTGAAGGGAACTCTTAAAGCGACATTTTGGACAATTTCATGCTCCCAACTTTGTGGGAAGAGTTTGGGGATGGCCCCTTCCTGTTCCAACATGACTGCCCACCAGTGCACAAAGCAAGGTCCATAAAGACATGGAGGAGCCAGTTTGGGGTGGAGGAACTTGACTGTCCTGCACAGAGTCCTGACCTCAACCCCATAGAACACCTTTGGGATGAATTAGAGGGGAGACTGCGAGCCAGGCCTCCTCCCCCGACATCAGTGCCTGACCTGACAAATTTGCTTCTGGAAGAATGGTCCAACCTTCCCATAGACACCCTCCTAAACCTTGTGGACGGCCTTCCAGAAGAGTTGAAGCTGTTATAGCTGCAATGGGGGCGGGGCCAAACTCAATATTGAACCCTACGGACTAAGAATGGGGGGCCATTAAAGGTCATGTGTGTGGAAAGGGCGGGGCCAACTCAATATTGAACCCTACGGACTAAGACTGGGGGGCCATTTAAGGTCATGTGCGTGGAAAGGGCGGGGCCAACTCAATATTCAACCCTACGGACTAAGACTGGGGGGGCCATTAAAGGTCATGTGCGTGGAAAGGGCGGGGCCAACTCCAATATGAACATTGACCCTGCGGACTAAGACTGGGGGCCAGTAAATAGGTCATGTGCGTGGAAAGGGCGGGGCCAACTCAATATTGACCTTACGGGACTAAGACTGGGGGCCAGTAAAGGTCATGTGCGTGGAAAGGGCGGGGGGCCAACTCAATATTGAACCCTACGGACTAAGACTGGGGAGGGGCCATTAAAGGTCATGTGCGTGGGGAAAGGGGGCGGGGCCAACTCAATATTGAACCCTACGGACTAAGACTGGGGGGGTTAAAGGTCATGTGCGTGGGGAAAGGCCGGCATCCCGATACTTTTGGGCAATATAGTGTATGTACTAAGCAGTTTTTTTTTATTGTAAGTTTTGGACTGTTTTTAGTTCATGGGAGTTCCAGGGTGCTGCATGTCAAAGCCATAATATATATATAATTATGTGATGTGACGTGTCCTTCATGTTGTGCCCTTGAGAAACGTGCCGGCTTGTGTGCATATCTCAGCCTAGAAATGAGCCAGTTATGGAAATGTAAAGCCTGTGTCTGGGAACTCTGAGAAAACTCTCCTTTGCAGTGGGGGGCTGCGCTTGCACTAAAAAAGTTAACTGCTCACTTAGGTCTCGGGGATCAGGGAGTGTTAAAGGACCTACCCCGATCTCCCCGTTAATGTCCCCCCCCCTTTACTTCAGCGGTGGACTATCCTTCAGTAGCCTCACGTCCAGTGCAGGGCCTATGGACCCTGCATTGGTCAGGACATTAGGACCTTAGGCCAATAGGGCACGCAGAAGATGCGGTTTGGCAGCACAGAGGATCAGTTAAAGGGATGGTTCACCTTAACAAAAGAATTGCCTACGCAGGTAAGGGGCATCTGTGGATAAAAACAAACTGTGTGTCTCAGACTAAACTTGGAGAACGTCCTTGCCATAGGTGTGCAGGCCATTTATGTACCTCATGAAGCCTGGCTGGAAAACTCCCAGGATGTTGCTAAGCGAGGCCTAGTCATTACTGTTCATCCCCACCATAACAGAAGTCAGCTTTTTCTCTGATTCAGACCCCTCACATGCTCTCCCTGGATACAGTATCTCTGAGATCAGCGTCTGAGAGCTCATTCATGTGATGGTGGGGGGTGAGCAGTAATGACCGGGCCTCACTTGGCAACATCCTGGGAACAGGGGCAGACTGACCATTGGGGAACTTGGGCAGTGCCGAGAGGCCTGGGGTCAGTAGGGGGCCCCTTGAGATGTCTCTGGTACCTTTCATAGGCTTTTTTGGGTGTGGTTTGAGTGTGTGCAAGGACACAGGGGCCCCATGATCCCCTATTGCCCGGGGGCCCCATGAGTTGTCAGTCCGCCCCTGCCTAGGAATATTGCAGTCAGGCTTCATGAGGAACGTAAACGGCCTACACCTATAGCAAGGGCATTTTAGGCAGAGCTGCCCAGTTTGTTTATTACCTACAGACACCCTTACCTGTATAGGCAGTTCTTTGGTTGAAGGTGAACAATCCCTTTAACCACTTCCCATCCAGCCCATGTATATTTAAACGGCCGGACGGTGGCAGTGCAGGGTCGGGTGGCCGTTTATAAACGTCCTTCCTGCTCCCTGCTTGTGCGCGTTCCCTGGGAGCGTGCTTGCAGCACCGCGATCCGGTGCCCGTTGTATCCTCCGGACACAGTGGAACACCGATCATCATACGGGACCTCTCTGCGAGGTCCTGATCATGTGATCACTGATTGGCCAATCAGTGAGGATTAGGATGACCAACACCACCAAGAACAGATTTTTTTCCCTCCATTTGGATGCATGTACACAAGAGCTCTCCACTCTACACTATTCTTGCCCACCGCCACTCAGAACGCCATGTTCCAGAATGCAAAACCAGACATCCCCACTCAGACTCGTAAAAGAAAGCCACCGCACGCTGGAGGAATATTTAATATCTTCAATTATTGTGTAGAACATGCACCATGACAGTCCCCGACTTAGGACCACCCCACTAACGCATTTCACCCAACAGGGCTGGATCCTACTGGGCGGAATTCATTAGCTGCAGTCATGGGTGTCATGGCTATGCTTGTGCCCGTTCTATGCATAATCCCTTTCGGTGTGCGGAGGATTCTTGTTCCTGCATTACGTCCAATTGGGAGCGGATGTCAGATGTTCTGCCTGACCCACAGATATGAGACTGTCCACCCCCATTCTTTGTGGCACAAAACGGGGACAGAAGCTTTTTTTTTTCCTGCCAGGTTGGCTAAGGCTGGTTCCAACATTTCCCGCAACCCCCAGAATAGCGGACATTACATATTTTATAGGTCACAAAGAAACTGGATACGCTTACCAGTAGCATTGACTGTTATTGTGCAAGAGCTTGTCCACCATGTGCTCCACTCCGTACAAACCAACTAGGAACGGCTTTTGTAGATGAGGGGTGTGTCGACTGAAGAGACAATGGAGGAGCAAGATAAACGGGTCACCACACATAGTGGGTAGAGCTACAGTATATATGTATGTATGTAGATGTGTACGTATCATGTGTGTGAGTATGTATGTAGATATGTGTAGGTATATGTTTGTTGTGAGTATGTATGTAGATATGTTACGTATCAGATACTGTTATGTGAGTATGTATGTAATGTATACCCTATTAGTATATATATAATATATATATAAATTTATATTATATATATATTATATATATTCTTATACATACCTACATATATTTTTATACATATTTCATATACACATATTTTTTCTTCTCTCTTATCATCTATACTATTATTCTCTCTCTCTTCTAAATCTATTATCTCTTTATTTATTTTTATCCCTCCTCTCTCATTTCTATTATCATTCTCTTATCAACTCCTATCTTATTATACTCTCTCTCTCTCATCTATTCTATCTTCTATCTCTTCTCTCATCTATTTCTCTCTCCTCTTCTCTGCTATATCATTATCTCTCTGCTTCTTCTTCATCTTTATATATATATTATTATCTCTCTCTCTCATCTCTTATCTCTTATCTCTCTCTCTAATTCTATATCTATTATCATTATCTTCTTTATCTCTCTCTCATTTCTCATATCTATTTCTTTATCTCTCTCTCTCTCTTACCTATTACTCTCTTTCATCTATCTCTCTCCTCAACTCTATTTCTATTATATCTTCTTTCTCTCTCTCTCTCTCTCTCTTCTCTCTCTCTATCAACTATATTTTCTTCTCTCTCTCTCTCTCTGCTTATCTAGTTAAAATTTATCTCTCTCTCTATTCTCATCTATAATCTAGTTCTACTCTCTTCTCTATCTATCTCTACCATCTCTTCTATCTATCTATCTTTTCTCTCTCTTCTTATCTCTTTCATCTATATATTATCCTCTTTCTCTTCTCTCTCTATCTTTTTCTATTTCTCTCTCTATCTCTTCTCTATTCTCTCTTCTCTCTTTTTCTGAGACTCTCTCTCTCTCTCTAATTCTCTCTATTCCTCTCTCTCTCTTTTCTCTCTCATCTATATCTACTTCTCTCTCTCTCTTAGAGATCTATTCTATATTACACATCTATTTACATACATCTCTCACATACTACATATTATATGTATACTCTATTGGGCGCTTTATAAATATGTATAATCTTATATATATATATATCTATATATATTATATATATTATTATTATACAGGTATTTATAAAAGCGCCAATAGTTCGCTCAGTGCTGTACATTACAAAGGGAGACAGAACATGTGACAGTACAATACCAATACAATGTGATACACGAGGGGGTTTGAGGGCCCTACTCTTTCGAGCTTACAATCTAGGAGATTATATATATATATACACATATATATATATATATATACAACACACTATATATATATACACACCATTTTAACACCACACATACATGTATATATATTTTTTTTTTTTTACATACACAGGGTCCTCACCTCCAGCAGAAGGGTAGTTTGTGTTTTATATGTGCTGCAATGCACCAAACGTCCGCGCTCCTTCAGAAGTTTAATGATGTTCTTATCAGCATCCTGGAAATACACGACATGCCCCGTTACTAGAATAGCTGTACAGGTCGTCATTTCATTGTCATGCATTGCTAAATTCAGCACAGGGCCTACAATGTGAGCTGTGTGCGGACTGATCTCATGGATTTCTATCAGGAGACCTGTTCATTGAATCCCAGTAATGCAGGTTCATGGGTTCCTGCATTTCTCCCCCTGTGCTTCATACCTGTAACTGTTATACAGTATATATTAGGTTGTCTTACTGATTCCCACATGACAAAATCTAGTATTCTCTCAGGTTTTTCTCGTCGTCTGCTCTGTTCTACTTTACACAACTTTAATGAATGCAAAATAAAATCTTTGGTGAACAGCAGAGAAATGCCTAAAGTGTTATTAAACCCAGACCCTGCATTCACTATATCTGGTCTCCTTGAACCCTGCATTCACTATATCTCTTCTCCCGGACCCCGCATTCACTATATCCGGTCTCCCCGGACCCCGCATTCTCTATATCCGGTCTCCCCGGACCCCGCATTCACTGTATCCGCTCTCCCCGGACCCTGCATTCACTATATCTGGTCTCCCCGGACCCGCATTCACTATATCCGCTGGTCACTCCGCTCTCCCGGACCCCGCATTCACTATATCTGGTCTCCCCGGACCCCGCATTCACTATATCTGGGTCTCCCCGGACCCCGCATTCACTATATCTGGTCTCCCCGGACCCTGCATTCACTATATCTGGTCTCCCCGGACCCTGCATTCACTATATCCGCTCTCCCCGGACCCTGCATTCACTATATCCGCTCTCCCCGGACCCCTCATTCACTATATCCCTCTCCCCGGTCTCCCCGGACCCGCATTCACTATATCCGGTCTCCCCGGACCCCGATGCATTGCATCACTATATCCGCTCTCCCCGGACCCTGCATTCACTATATCCGCTCTCCCCGGACCCTGCATTCACTATATCTGGTCTCCCCGGACCCCGCATTCACTATATCTGCTCTCCCCCCCCGCAACTATATTCCCTCGGACATTCACTATATCTGCTCTCCCCGGACCCCGCATTCACTATATCTGCTCTCCCCCCGGACCCCGCATTCACTATATCCGCTCTCCCCGGACCCTGCATTCACTATATCCTCTCTCCCCGCATTCACAGCAGGGGATCAAATACTTATTTCCTTCATTGTATGATTGGGTATTCTGTGCAAAGTGAAGCTCCTCCTCGTTTACTAATTCTGGAGCAACTGCACTTGCAAAGTGCAGTTTGTTTGCCTTTAGTAAATCAACGTCTATATTTGAATACATCCCTACAGTTCAAATCTCCAACCTCTCTATAAGATGGGCTGACAAAAAAAAAAAAGACGCGCACAGTCTTTGGACCCTGGGAAGCCGGAGAAATGTCACAGATAGTGAGGTGAGTGCGTCTTGTATGGCTCTGCAGTCTTGCTGCATGATAATATATCCACACAGAAAAGTAATAAAATAAACGCGTATATTAATCAAATATAAATGAGTGGGCGCCAACCCACATCAAGCAAAAGTTATGGGATAGCCAGTCACATCAAGGACAAAAGGACCGACTACTACATGGATGGGAAGTACAAAGGACCGCTACTACATGGACATGGGAGCAGTAAAAGGACCGACTACTACATGGACATACAGTCAGGTCCATAAATATTGGGACATCGACACAATTCTAACATTTTTGGCTCTATACACCACCACAATGGATTTGAAATGAAACGAACAAGATGTGCTTTAACTGCAGACTGTCGGCTTTAATTTGAGGGTATTTACATCCAAATCAGGTGAACAGTGTAGGAATTACAACAGTTTGCATATGTGCCTCCCACTCATTAAGGGACCAAAAGTAATGGGACAGAATAATAATCATAAATCAAACGTTTCACTTTTTAATACTTGGTTGCAAATCCTTTGCAGTCAATTACAGCCTGAAGTCTGGAACGCATAGACATCACCAGACGCTGGGTTTCATCCCTGGTGATGCTCTGCCAGGCCTCTACTGCAACTGTCTTCAGTTCCTGCTTGTTCTTGGGGCATTTTCCCTTCAGTTTTGTCTTCAGCAAGTGAAATGCACGCTCAATCGGATTCAGGTCAGGTGATTGACTTGGCCATTGCATAACATTCCACTTCTTTCCCTTAAACTCTTTGGTTGCTTTTGCAGTCTGCTTTGGGTCATTGTCCATCTGCACTGTGAAGCGTCCAATGAGTTGTGAAGCATTTGGCTGAATATGAGCAGATAATATTCCCGAAAACACTTCACAATTCATCCGGCTGCTTCTGTCAGCAGTCACATCATCAATAAATACAAGAGAAGCAGTTCCATTGGCAGCCATACATGCCCACGCCATGACACTACCACCACCATGATCACTGATGAGGTGGTATGCTTAGGATCATGAGCAGTTCCTTCTCCATACTCTTCTCTTCCCATCACTCTGGTACAAGTTGATCTCGGTCTCATCTGTCCATAGGATGTTGTTCCAGAACTGTGAAGGCTTTTTTACATGTCGTTTGGCAAACTCTAATCTGGCCTTCCTGTTTTTGAGGCTCACCAATGGTTTCCATCTTGTGGTGAACCCTCTGTATTCACTCTGGTGAAGTCTTCTCTTGATTGGTGACTTTGACACACATACACCTACCTCCTGGAGAGTGTTCTTGATCTGGCCAACTGTTGTGAAGGGTGTTTTCTTCACCAGGGAAAGAATTCTCTTCGGTCATCCACCACCACAGTTGTTTTCCGTGGTCTTCCGGGTCTTTTGGTGTTGCTGAGCTCACCGGTGCGTTCCTTCTTTTTAAGAATGTTCCAAACAGTTGTTTTGGCCACGCCTAATGTTTTTGCTATCTCTCTGATGGGTTTGTTTTGTTTTTTCAGCCTAATGATGGCTTCACTGATAGTGACAGCTCTTTGGATCTCATCTTGAGAGTTGACAGCAACAGATTCCAAATGCAAATAGCACACTTGAAATGAACTCTGGGCCTTTTATCTGCTCATTGTAATTGGGATAATGAGGGAATAACACACACCTGGCCATGGAACAGCTGAGAAGCCAATTGTCCCATTACTTTTGGTCCCTTAACAAGTGGGAGGCACATATGCAAACTGTTGTAATTCCTACACTGTTCACCCCGATTTGGATGTAAATACCCTCAAATTAAAGCTGACAGTCTGCAGTTAAAGCACATCTTGTTCATTTCATTTCAAATCTATTGTGGTGGTGTATAGAGCCAAAAATGTTAGAATTGTGTCGATGTCCCAATATTTATGGACCTGACTGTAGGAGCCAGTACAAAGGACCGACTACTGCATGGACATGGGAGCCAGTACAAAGGACCGACTACTACATACATGGACTACTACATGGACATGGGAGCCAGTACAAAGGACCGACTATGGGACATGGGAGCCCAGTACAAAGGACCGACTACTACATGGACATAAAGGAGCCGACTACTACTATGGACATGGGAGCCACTAAGGAGCAGTACAATGGGACCGACTACTACATGGACATGGGAGCCAGTACAAAGACCGACTACTACATGGACATGGGAGCCAGTACAAAGGACCGACTACTACATGGACAAAGGAAGCCAGTACAAAGGACCGACTACTACATGGACATGGGAGCCAGTACAAAGGACCGACTACTACATGGACATGGGAGCCAGTACAAAGGACCGACTACTACATGGACAAAGGGAGCCAGTACAAAGGACCGACTACTACATGGACATGGGAGCCAGTACAAAGGACCGACTACTACATGGACATGGGAGCCAGTACAAAGGACCGACTACTACATGGACATGGGAGCCAGTACAAAGGAACCGACTACTACATGGACATGGGAGCCAGTACAAAGGACCGACTACTACATGGACGGTGAGCCAGTACAAAGGACCGACTACTACATGGACATGGGAGCCAGTACAAAGGACCGACTACTACATGGACAAGTGGGAGCCAGTACAAAGGACCGACTACTACATGGACATGGGAGCCAGTACAAAGGACAGACTACTACATGGACGTGTGAGCCAGGACAAAGGGACTACTACATGCCCCAGTACAAAGGACCGACTACTACATGGACATGGGAGCCAGTACAAAGGACCGACTACTACATGGACATGGGAGCCAGTACAAAGGACCGACTACTACATGGACATGGGAGCCAGTACAAAGGACCGACTACTACATGGACATGGGAGCCAGTACAAAGGACCGACTACTACATGGACATGGGAGCCAGTACAAAGGACCGACTACTACATGGACATGGGAGCCAGTACAAAGGACCGACTACTACATGGACATGGGAGCCAGTACAAAGGACCGACTACTACATGGACGTGGGAGCCAGTACAAAGGAGGGACGACTACTACATGGACATAGGAGCCAGTACAAAGGACCGAATACTACATGGACATAGGAGCCAGTACAAAGGGACCGACTACTACATGGACAGAGGTTTTCCTTTCCGTGTACACTGTGCACCTAGAACAGAAAAGGAAGCCATCACAGAGCTGCATACAATTCTCACTGAAATTCCCATTTAAAAAAAAAACAAACAAAAAAAGTAAGAAAATAATAATTCTAGAGACACAACCTTGACATACTGCCCAGCAAAGTCAGTGACCTCCGGAGTGAAGCAGCCAGAAGAATTAACAGGACACACCGCACCGAGTCCTTCTGGATAATGTTTGAAGTCCGTGCAAACCCGATAATCATCCTGTGGGGAGATCACATTCAACATATTGTAAGGAAAGGTAAACAATCACGA